TGTTTTACTCGCTTCATAAAATATAGATTGTTTGGAATAATATAATTCTGATATAGCATAGTTTACTAATATGTATGTTGAGATTTCACATCCTTTGAACCCTAACTACATACAATAAACAACTTATATAAATATTGGCCTGTAAGAGAAGCATGTTTCCTTGCCTTAAACATAGGCCTGTACTATTTTTCATGACCAATTCAATGTACTAATTGAAATTTAATGTAGTAAAAATAAAACATTTTTAACTTTGCATTAGATACATTTTAGATTTAATCTTTATGTATACACAGATCAAAACCTCACATTGTACCCTTATCACATACTATTTGCCAATGAAAAATAAAATATTTTAAAAATTTAATTCAACTCAAAATGCAGTGTAAATTACCTGTTTCTTCTGTGATGTAGTTGCACTCCATGCTACTGAAATTTCTATTAGAATTACATTCAGCTTTGTTGTGTACTTTTGACTGTATATTTTGGATTCTGGGTAATTCATGGTTTGTGGGGGGCTTTCTTCTTTGTTTACAGTTCCTGCAACAACTGCAGTTCAAAATGTTCTGATTAATCCTTCAATGATTGGGCCCAAAAATATTCTTATTACCACCAACATGGTTTCATCACAGAACACAGGCAATGAATCAAACCCAATGAAGAGGAAACATGAAGATGATGATGACAATGATACTATGTAAAGGGTAGAGTCTAGTCTACATCCATTTAAGAAGTGTGTAGTTGGTTTTCAGCTGATATACTGTACTAGAACATTGTAGATCTTAACATTTTTTTTCTTAGAAAACTTAAATGTAGCTGCAGTATTTTTCACATTAATTCAAACTGTTAGATTTCTTTAAGAGTACAAATGTTTTTCAATTAGGCTTAAAGTACAAAAGTACTTGTTTCTTTAGTTCCATTAATGTTTAGTCCTACCACAGCAATTCTATTTTTGGAAGCAGTTTTCTGCCATGTATTATTGACAGCAGCACTTACATTTAAGTTTCTACAGCCTGGTCAGTGGACTAATCTATTAATTTCTAACTTGCATTTAAAGTTCTACTTTGTTTTGTAAGATAAAATAGTCACTTTAATTGTCACTAACTTTTTTGACCAAGTCTATTTAGAAAACATTTTTTGGAAGGATGAATGTATTTAAGGTTTTTCTTGGTTTTCCCTAACTTCCCATCCCAACTCCCTCTCTAGATCCCCCACAGGTTTAGGTTCATCCCTATTACTCTTAAATGTAAAAGGTCATAACTGGAATTTTCAAAATATCATTCCTGATAATACAGGTCATTTTCATGTTTTTAAACATGCTCGATATTCTATGGTTCACTTGAACCTGCAGTTTTGCAGTTGCTCTTTTCACTCCATACTAGAAAAACTAGGTTTTATCCCTTGCCTTTCGTATCTTTGGAGCTTTAGTCTGCTTGAAAGGTAGTTTGGGGGTCATTTACATTCAGTCATATTCCAAGTTGATAACTCTACCATATTTCACATTTTAAAATTTAAAAGAGATGATATAGCTTAAAATCTGCCTTGAAGTAATTTACACTGGACCTAGATGAACCACTGAAGAGCAAGTGTTTTATTCGTACCACATACGTATATGTTTTGGTCACTACTGCTCGAGTCCTCCTATTGGTATAATTCAGATCATTTTTATAGCTTGTTGCTAAGGATTTCACACATGAGATGGGATCAAACTTGAAAGTAGAATATAATGGTTCTCCTCCTTTTCTGTTAAGGCCAAGGAAAACAAATTAGTGTCATGTGACTTGCATTTAGATGCACTGTATACAGGTTTCCCAGTAATATTGCTAAACACTTCCCCGTATTTTCCATTTATATACATAAAAGTCTTACTGGGAAAGATCACAAAGCTTTTGAGAATAAAAACAGGCATGTTTGGTTTCAGTTTGACATGTATGACATGGAAATATTTAGGCAGAATTTTCTGAAATAAATCTTCATATGATAATCTAAGCAGTTGTAGCCAAGGATCCTCAAAACTTAATCGTAAGTTTCATCTTAGGATGGTGCTTGATACATCTAAGAAATAGTCCAGAAACGGAAGAAATGTCTTATCAGTTTGAATGTTTAGGCATATTAGAGAAAGGTGATATAAAAACTTACAAAAATGGATCTGATCAACATCATAGGAGAGAAATTTTCATTATATAGCATGGATATCATTACTTGAATGTTCTCAGGGAGGCAGCATATCAGAAGGCCTAAGTTCTAGTCCTGGCTCCATCATTTACCAACTGTGTGACCTTACTTCACCTCTGAGCCTTGTTCTCATTAGTAATAGAAAATAACACCTACCCTGCCTACCTCACAGGGATGTTGTGAGGGTTTAATTGGTGTATGTGAAAGTTCTTTCAAAATTGTAAAATGTTATATATCTATAAGGAATTATTATTAATGTATTTGTCCCGAGGTTATCAATAAAAATTTAAGCTTAAAGCAATCTTCCATTTCTGACTGAAGGCATTCAAAGAAAACGAGTAAGGATAATTTTGAGGGTCAAAAACTAACGTTCATTTAATGGATGAATTATTATATTCAGGAAATTGCTAGCTTTTGACTTTTCATAATAAAGCAAAATGAAAATGAATGTTAAGAATATAGGTTTAAAACTCACCTGGCACAGGGGCACACATCTATAATCCCATTGACTTGGGAAGCTGAGGCTGGAGGATCGCAAGTTTGAGATCAGCCTAAAACTTAGGCCCTAAGCAACTAAGTAAGACTCTGTCTCAAAATAAAAAATAAAAAGGGCTAGGAATGAAGGTCAGTCAAGATTGTATCCCTGGGTTCAGTCTCTAGTACAAAAAATATATATTTAAAAAATTAACATGCTGGGACTTTGGGGGTAATCTATACATATAATTGATGTTACAACCTGAGTGTTCATTCACTTAACAGGTCACCCACCATTCATATTTCATATATGTACATACACACATGGATATGCTCTTCATATGCATTAAGTAGCTGTGAACTGAACAAATTAGTTTTAAAGCCAGTAAGGAACTAAGGTAGGATGCTATCTCCTTTCTTTGTACCCTTTTTGTTCACATGCAAACCCCTGTGCTAGAGGGAAATTTGGGACATGAGAAGGAAAGCAGGAAACACTGAGCTAAAGAATATATTTCAATTCCTCATTTATGTTCCCCCCCCATATAAAGGCATACATATGTGTTGTTAAATAGTGAATTTCATTTGGGCTGGGGTTGTGGCTCAGTGGCAGAGCACTTGCCTTGCACATGAGGCACTGGGTTCGATCCTCAGCACCTTGTAAAAATAAACAAAGATATTAAGTCATGTATAACAAAAAAAAAAAAATTTAAAGAGTGAATTTAGTGAATTTAGTGGGCTGGGTGGCAGAGCTCAGTGGCAGAGCACTTGCCTAGCATGTGCGTGGTCTGGGCTCGATCCTCAGCACCACTTAAAAATAAATAAGATATTGTGTTCAACTACAACTAAAATATAAATAAATTAATTAATGTATAAAAAATAATTTTTAAAAAAGTGAATTTAGCACTTAAAGCCTATATCTTTGCAGTTAATTTCATCAGTAGTGCATAATTTTATATTAAACCAGAAAGCATATCCTCATACCATTCTACTTCATTCGCTCATAAGTTGTACATATCCACTATCTTGACTAAGTTATGAATCCCTTCAGGACATAAATGCTAGCTCACATTTCCTTCTACCATAAGCTAAGCATGCAGCAGGTACACAGATATTTAAAACTGGAGTTTCCTCAGTCTGGATTAAAAATCTAATCAATGAGGGATGATCTGAAAGTAGATTCTAATAGGAAGTACTTAAGAGATTATCAGGGATTGGATAGATGGATGATGCTGGCAATCATAGTCTAGATCCTGGGCATATGAGTGTTTATTGTATATTTCATTCCATTTCTCTGTGTACTTGAAATAATAAAATATTGGAGAAAAGATAATCAATAGGAAATAACAGTGATCAGTTTGCTAAAGTTCTAGCCCAGCTGTAACATTAATTTGCTAGACCTGTAGCTGGTATCTTTGGGTCTCATCTACAAATACAGGACTAGAATTCCTGAGCTCAAACCAGAGGGCACCCAAGTACAACAACACAGCAACAGCTATGTAGCAAACCTAGAGGGTAGCCAGTACAAACTGGAGCAAAAACACCAAGAACTTCAGCAGGATGTCTCCAGTAAAAATTAAGATTATCTGTATGTTTGAAACATTAATACTTCCAGCAGATTTGGGAATGAATCAGTGATAGAGATACATAGGAAAAGAGAAAAAAATAAAAAATAAAGACATTAACTTCCAAGACAATAAAAATTACATAAGTATGGGGCTGGGGCTCTGTGCTGGAGCGCTCACCTTGCACATGTGAGGTGCTAGGTTCAATCCTCCACATAAAAATAAATAAAGATATTGTGTCCAACTACAACTAAAAAAATATTTTTAAAAATCACATAAGTAAATATAGCATACTACATAGTTAAGCAGAACAATATTTAAAATCATACTGTAAACTTTAATCTGTGATAAAACTATACTGTAAGAATGAAGTAGTAGAAGGATATGTGGAACAGAGGCCATATGTTAAATCTTCAATGGTATGAAATTAATAGGTACCTTTTTAAAAAAAAAATCCAAGAAGCTCACAGGATGTTACTTAGAAACATGGAGGCAAATAACTAGAAAAACAGTGGTCACCTCTGGCAAATGGGAATCACATATGGGAGGAATAAGCTGAGGCTCTATTTGCTGCGGTAAAACCTTGACTGTTTACATTATGACTGTGTCAAACTGATAAAAATTTAAAATAAAAACACTAACAGTGTAACTCTTCAATAAGGAGTAGGCATTCATCTAATCCTCCCACCTCCCCACTGCTGCCATCCCATTTCTTAAATTTAGAAATGCAGATATTTGGTCCCTTCAAGTTTCTATTCTTACCCTTCCTAACAAAGTATGACAGGAAAAAAATTCCAGTTTCAATGGACATGTTTATTGATCATTTAATAGTTCATCAATTGCTTCTCCCTAAAACTGGAATTTCATCTTGTTTCCATGCCGAGTAGTGAACAGTGACAAGCTAATCAAAATAAGCTACTTCAAAAAGAGAACTAAGCTAACACAGCTCACTTTGTTTTAACAGGCAAAATATAAATAGATGCACTCTAGAATGCATAATGGTTTAGTCACTAAGAAATTTAAATGAGACCTTGAAGAATATAGGCAAATCCAGGGTGCAGTAAAGATGAGCTGAGATGCTGTGCAACTGTTTAAGGGTTCCTGGTGCTACCTCTCTTGGCCACTAGCTGAATCTTGATGTGGGAGGAGGTTTTAGCTAATGCCAAGTGGAGATGTGAAAAATGCTAAGATGACTTAGGGGCCGTGCACAGGAACCAAAAGGCAGGAAAGTACTAAACATTGCTGAGAGCATCCACCCCAGGAAGGACTTTACCTGTTTTTGAGAGAGCACATACACATAGATAGCATTACTATAGGGCCAACTAAGCCAGATATGCCCCCTTCTCTCTTCCCAATAACACATCAGCTATTCTTTAAGATAATATAGCCAGGAGTTAGGCAACTTTTGCATTTTGTGTCCCAGGTCTACTAGAATGTGACATGTTTAAGAACAAGTTCCTATCTGCCCCTCCCCTCCTCAAAAGGATGCAAGAGCTTTATCTGAAGTTCTTCCATTTGTACTGCCCAGCTAATAATGACTGCTAATGACAGTACTAGCTGTTAAATTTCTTTATTCCGTTCTACCCACTTCTCCCCACCCTACCCCTAAATAAGCCAAAAAACAAGGAAGAACCTCACCTTCCAGGAGCTCCAAACTAGCACCACCACCAGTGCTCACATGGCTGACTTTATCCTCTGTGTTCCATTTGGCACAGCAAGTGGCAGTGTCTCCACCACCTGTTGAATGAAAGCCAGATGAAAAGGGAAAGTAGAAAGAAAAAAGTTTAATGGCACCAAAACCATAAGGCAACTCAAAAGTAGCTGATGACTCGGAACTCTTTCATTAAGATGCTCCTACATGAACTATGCACCCATTTGGCTCAAGATTCACCTAACACCATGAGGCCCAGGAATAGTCAATGATCCCCCTCTACCTTCCTCTGATTAGAATTCTGCCAGTTCACCTTAGTATTAGCTTTGTAAAGGACACCTTACCTATGATAGTGATGCAGCCCCTGGCAGTGGCTTTCACCACCTCGTCCATGAGTGCTTTGGTTCCCTGGGCAAAAGCTTCCCATTCAAAGACACCCACAGGTCCATTCCATACAATTTGCTTAGCCCGACCAACAGCCTCAGCATACTTCTTGCTGCTCTCAGGGCCACAGTCCAAGCCCTGAGGGATAGAGTTAAAAGAGAAGTTGAGCTGCCAAGGAAAGTTACTTGAAAGAACAAATACCACCTTCATCAAGACCAAACAACCCAGAGTTTCTTCTAGAACCAAAGGTACTCTTCAGTCTTTAAAATTATAAATGTATTTATGACCTTTGACTCAAAAGTTCTACTTTATAAAAGATCAAGTTCAAGGGAAAACTTCAAGTTATTTAATACAGGCATTTTTGACCATTCTATGTATGACAATCGAGAACAAGATGAGTGGGTCTCAACCTGGGTCAAACCTGCCTCTCCACAAGGAACATGCAGCAATGTCTGAAGACATTTCTAAAGATAAAATTTGGGAGGCACTTCTGGCACCTAGTGGCCAAGGATGCTTTAAATACCTCACAAGGCAACAACAGACCTCCACAACAAAAATGGAGATGTCAATAATGTTGAAATTGAGAAATACTGAACTAGATCAGTAGTTCTCAAACTCTGGCATGCATCAGAATCACTGGAGACTTTGTTCATACACAAACTGTTGGGCCCTACTCCCACACTTCCAGGGTTTTAGATTCAGTCGCTATGGAGTAAAGCTCAATAATTTACATTTTTCTTTTTTTTTAATTTTTAATTTGTTAATAAAGCTTTATTTTATTTGTTTATATGTGGTGCTGAGAATCGAACCCAGTGCCTCACACATGCCAGGCTGAGCCATAGCCCCAGCCCTCATTTTTCAACAAATTCCAAAAATGGTGCCTATACTGCTGATCTTGGGGCCACACTGAGAAATGATGAACCCAAAGGCCTCACACCGAGAAGTAACACCCAAAAGCCTAACAAAAGAAAAATGACTCAGCAAACGGGCATGTCAATGAGACAACGTTATTCAGCTGTCAAAATAATATGTGGAAAACACAATGATCAACTATTTAGTATTTTTTTCATATTAGTCTTTAATGCATATGTTTTTCTTGTGAATAGTATACTTCTATTGTCTTCATGATTTCATGTGAAGTTTTCTTATATAGGTTTCTAGGTAGCAACATACTCCAGAATAGCCCAAACTATGAAAGCATACAGCAGTGTCTCCAGCACATAGTAAGTCCTTAAACATTACTTAGATGAAAAAGAAACATTCGTGCTTCATCTCATTACTGATAAAGACAGCAGAAATCTGATACCACTGCTTTCACCCCATGAGTTCTCCCACAAAAAGTGCCTCACTGCAACACCTGGAACCCAACTCCTAGTGTTTTAAAATGTTTGTTAGAGAGCTGGGTTTGTAGCTCAGTGGTAGAGCACTTGCCTGGCAAGTACGAGTTCATGGGTTTAATCCCAGTACTACAAAAAAAAATGTTAGTTGGTTGGCTAGATGACACAAAAAAGTTTCGGTTCACTCATATTGAAGTGACTCACCATCCAGCCAGCAGGTATTCCAGAGGCCACAGTGGCCTGGCCAGTCTTGGCATTCTCATCAAACTTGTCAGCAGTGACAAAATCAACAGGCAAAGTAATCTTCACACCATTCTTCTCAGCTTTGGACATAAGGTCTTTGACAATCTTGGATCCCTCTTCATCAAACAGAGAAGTGCCAATCTATACAAGGGGGCAAAGATGATGAACATTAGCCTCTATACTAAGAACATGACTGCTTCACAAAAGTAGACAGCAACCAGAGATGATAAGAGATAAAGGAATAATTACAAAAAGAAAACAACTTGCTAAGATAAAAATAGGAGTTTTTAGGGAGAGTTCATATCAAGCTGTTTTTTTTTTTAATTTAGATAAGTGTGATTATAATGAACAGCTACTTCACATTGGCATTGGTTTCCTACCTCCATGTTGTTGAGCACCTTAAGGAAGGTAAAAGCCATTCCACCACCAATAATCATCTCATTCACTTTGTCCAGCATATTATTGATCAACTGGATCTTGTCTGCAACTTTAGCTCTAGAAGTGAAAGAAAAACCACCAAAAGAACAATCAACTAGAGAAGTAATAATATAACGGAGCCTGACATTTTATGCTAAGGCAGGAACAAAAAAAAAATGTCCCAAATTGACCAAGTACTGCATAACTTTGCCCTGTATTTCTCCAATCCAAAAGCCTAATCCATTTTGAAGAAATCTTTGAAGATATGACATCAAATCAAAAAAGGGCTTAGAAAACCTACTCCTTGGCTGAAGGTATAGCTCAGCAGTACAGTACTTGCCTAGCATTCACAAGGCCCTAGGTTAATCCTCAGCACCGCAAAAAGGAAAGAAAACCTATCCTTATCTAAAGAAAGCATAGATTCCACATATACCCCCTCAAAATTCACAGGATCCAGACTGCCAACTGTACCTGCTAATCATGAGATCCCTGCATCTACTCAGAACTGTCTTAATCCTAGAGCAGGGGATAAGACTGTACAAACATACACTGAACAAAAATAGATATTTCTAGTCTCAATTCACATCCCATGCTCAATTGCTGGGGACAATTGCTTTACAGCATTTTTCTGCTGAACTGCTTAATTCAACACCTTCACTGAGCACCTAATCTGTGCCAAGCAGTATCCTAGGTGTTTAAGAAACATTAGTGGGCAAAACAAAGATTCCTGCCCTTTTGAAGCTTATTTTGCAATGGAGGAAAATAAAACATATGTACCTCTTGCCTCCCTGTGAGAGAAAAAAATATCTTAAGTAAGAGATACAAAGCAATAGCTAGCTAGCCTTCCATAAACATTTCAATACATTTAAATCCCACTTAAATGGCCAAATCACTTCAGGACTATTTCCTTCTTCATTCAATAAACAAGATGATGCCTACCCTAGGAGAGATCTTATGGTACAAAACAACACTGATATAGGGGAATGGATGCCAAGAGGCTGTTTACTTCACTTGTAATCCATTGAACAAATAATGGATTATTTGTTTAAAATGTGTATACACACATACTCCTGAACTTGCATCCAATAAAGGCACCGTAAGTTGAAAATATAGTATGCTGAAAATGCATTTAATGGATGGAACTAGAGAACGTCATGTTAAGTGAAATAAGCCAATCTCAACCAAAGGCCAAATGTTTTCTCTGATAAGTGGATGCTGATCCACAGTAGGGAGGGGATAGGAAAGAAGGAAGGAACTTTGTATTGGGCAGAGGGGAATAAGGGGAGTGGAGGAGGTGTGGGGATGGGAAGGACAGTAGAATGAGACAGACATCATTACCCTATACTCGTGTGATTACACTACTGGTGTGACTCTACACCATGTACAACCAGAGGAATGAGAAACTGTGCTCCATTTGTGTACAATGTGTCAAAATGCATTCTACTGTCATGTATAACTAATTAGAACATTAAAAAAAAAAAAAAGGGAGACCAGGAGAAGAGGGAAAGGGGAGGTACTGGGGAATTAAATTGATCAAATTATACTGTTTCATTGTGTGCATATATGAATAATATTATACCAAATCCCACTGTAAGAATAATGTACCAATGAAAAGGGGGGAAAACAGAAAAAATACATTTAATGCACTTAACCTGATGAACACACCACAGCTTAGCAGTACATTACACTATAGAGTTATACACTGTTTACCCTCATGACTGTATGACTGGCTGGGAGGTGCAGCTCACTGTCCCTTCTAGCTTCTCATTCTTCTCAAGAAAGTATTGTACTGCACATAACTAGCCCAAGAAAAGACCGAAATTCAAAGTACAGTTTCTACTGAACATGTATCATCTTCACACCATCTTGGCATCACTACTCACAGAAAATACATGCTCATCTCTAAGGGATAGTATACAGCTCAAATGTCCCTGTTTCTTCAACACATTGTTGGGATGAAAGTAAGAAGAGGACTATTATAGAATAAATGATCCTTAACAAAGTAATTTATGTATAATATATGGCAGTTATTTAAAAGAAAATTCCTAGTTGGGTGTAGTGGCACATGGCTATAATCCCAGCTATTATGGAGACTGAGGCAGAAGGATCTCAAGTTCAAAACCAGCCACAGCAACTTAGCAAGACCCTGTTAACAAAATAAAAAATAGCTGGAGAGCTGGGGATATAGCTCAGTTGGCAGAGTGCTTGCCTCACATGCACAAGGCCCTGGGTTCAATCCCCAGCACCACAAAAAAAAAAAAAGCTGGGAATGTAGCTCAATGGTAGAGTGTCCCTGGCTTCAACCCCAAGTACTGACGGGGGAAAAATAAAAACATCCTGACCGAAATGGGGTTCACAGATAAAACAAGATTGCCCAAAATGTCAATTTGTTAAAGCAGTGTAACAGATACCCAGGGGTTTATTATGCTATTCTTTTAACTTCTGTATGTTTGTTTCCACAATAAAGTATTTTTTATGTAAAAATTTTCCAGAAATTATTAATTGCCTAGGAAGACTACACTATTAAGAAATGTGGCAAAATTTTCCATATCAGCTTCACCAAAACAGCTACAGTAGCACTCCCTTATTCAGTTTCACTTCCCTGTGGTCAACCACAATCCAAAAGTATTAAATGGAAAATTCCAGAAATAAATAACTCATAAGTTTTAAATAACAATATGTATATTGCTATAATTCTTCTATTTCATTACTGTTATTAATCTCCCAATGTGCCCAATTTATAAATTAAACTTTATCATAGGCATATAGCAAAAATATCTATCTATCTATCTATCTGGTTTCAAGCATCCATTGGGAACATAAACCTAACCATAACCACTAGGTGGCACTCTTCTTATTACAAGTCTACAGAAAGTCTACAAAGCCAGACAGCTCAAATCCTCATTTCCAGGAAAATCAAAAAACTGAGTCTGATCTTCATAATCCAGTGAAGAAGAGGGGCAATGATTCCAGTAATTTACCTTTTTACAGGAACAAAACACTACAACCTGAATCCCCCTGGATGATTTTTAGGACCCTGAAACTGGGCTCATAAAGCCTAGAGAGCAACTACCTGAAGTTGACAGCCAACTCCAGAGTCAATTTTCATCAGGAAATGCTGACTGTGTCCAGTCCCATGGGGGCAAAAAAATCCTGCTCACAGAAGGGTCATATTCCTGTAACAATAGAGAGGCTGCAACCTAACAGCCATGCCAAGTGACACAAAGCTATCTCATCCAAGCAGTCCCAGCCCCTTGTCCCTACTTTATCATCTAAAACGTATTCTTTCAACTATCCATTCTGAAATTTCTAATCTTTACTAAGCATGAGAATCTCACTATCCATATGCTGCCTTTTCCCCTAGGAACAAACATAAAATAGGTACATAATGTGTACAAATGAAGTCTAAATGATATAAAGACATAATATTGAACATACAGGAGCAGGTTTTCCTAGTTATTCCCAGCCAGGTTGTATGTAAGAGCTTCATAAAAACTTCAAAATTAGAGATGAGCACTTTGGCAGATTTTTCCCTATTCTTCCCTCCACAACCATTTTCTACCCTGTCCCAGGAGGCGGACCTGCACGAACCACATCAAGGGACTCCCTTACCTCTGGCCTCCAGTTGAGTTTCAGCAATTGGTGGGGGGTATGGATGCAGCATCAGGAGATTGAAGAGAGATCACAGTATTTATTTCCCTGGGGTCCCTTTCTGCCAGATTATCATCTTTCCATTGAATAAACACTACCATTCTAACTGGAAGGCTCTTCCACATAACTCCCCTCTCTGTATTCCCTTCTTTGCCCTTTCAGGCCTATGGATGGTGATGAATATTGCTAGCCCAATTATATACTGTCCTTTTCTGGTGTCCCTAAATCTACCATCACTTGTATAGACAGTCCCTTTATTAAATTCTCCACAATTACTCAGCATGACTATGCTATCTGACAATAAACTACCCAAGTTATGGCCTACTGCCACACAAACACTACTTAAAGCATAATCCAAAAGTGTTTTTCATACCCGCCTAAGATGGCCAGGAAAGGTCGCTCTGGGCTCTCCAACGCCTTGGCAAAATAGTTCAACTCCTTCTTCATCAAAAAACCACCAGCCTTCTGTGGAAGATTGACTCCGACCATGGAGCTAGAAAAGACCAAAGACAATCAAATTCTCATAAAACTCTACCATTTCTCCCAGTCCTAGAAGCCAGCTCCTCATCACTAAAATGTTTTTCTCATTCTGAGTTTCTAAGAAATCATGATTTTTCATCCTGAAACTGCAACAGAAAACATTTAGGTACATGATAAGGTTTTTGACTAATAAACAGGGTCAAACAGAAAGAGTAAAAAGCAATGAACTTAGGCAGACTCTAAGATACCCAAGTAATAGTCTTCAGTAGGCAAAGGGCTGAATTACAATATACAATAAGCTGGGTGCCATAGTGCTTGCACACCTGTAATCCCAGCAGCTCAGAGGCTGAGGCAGGAGGATTACCAAGTTCAAAGCCAGCCTCAGCAACTCAGCAAGACCTTGTCTCATAATAAAAACCAGCTGGGAATGTGGTTCAGTAGTCAAAACCCCTCTGGGTTCAATCCCAGATACCCCCAAAAGAAATATTATACAATAAGTAATCAACCAGTTGATAAGAATGTTAAGATTCTGATCTGGAAACATTCCCAAAGTAATATCCATTAGAAAGAGAAACCTTTTCCTAAAGCTACATAAAATGCTTGACAATTCCCAACGTTTTTACCTTTGTTTCCTCTCTAGATCAGGAAGAGCCACAATAGTGGCTCCAATTAGAGATAGAAATTGAAACAATCACAATACAATGCAGAAATACTTAAAAGCAACCTCGAGTTTGAGCTGCTCAAGTAAACAAGAAAGCTGCTCTCAGCCCAGTATCCAACAAGGCTCTTGGTACCTGTGGGCTCGATGGGCAGTGCCGAAAGCATCATTCACATAGACATCCCCTAGTTTGGAAAGTGACGCTCGGAAAGCTTCTACTTTAGCTGGTTCAGCTTTAACCTGCAAAGAAAAACAACTACTGTGATGAAAAGCCAACACAGGAAGTGCTTATGGCTCCAAAGACAACTAACTTTTGTAAAAGCATTTCATACCACTGAGGGTCCTCTTGAACATCTCTGAAGACCTTGAATAGGTGGAACAGCAAATTTTTAACAGGATTGTTTCTTTCTCCCAAATATTCCAGGTCCTCTTGTTATTTCTTCATGATCCTGCACTCCCTCACCTTCCCTCAAAATTACAAACCTAATACTCTTGAACCATGGCTTAACCTTTAATCATTTGAAGCTAACCACATCCCACTGGTCTCTCTTCAACCTGCAGGTCAAGATTCTGACTGTTCTTCCCTTTCCTTATGCTAACTCATTTTCTTATTTTAATATATTCTTGTAAAAGTATTATACTTGACTCAAGTTTCTAACTACCAAGGCCCTTCTGCAAAGGCAAAGTGGCCCTCATACATATCCCTCATAAAAGCAACAAGGAAAGGTTTGGACAGAGATGATAAATTAAATATGACAATAGAAAAATACCTCAGAAACATTTTATGTTGGTGTAAAAGGAGGTATTTTACAGCCTTCCCTCAAAGTTATGCATCTGAGAAATCAAGACATACACTTCTATGAAGAGAGAGGAGAAAAAAATAGAAAAGAAATGAAACACAAGTGCAAAGTATCAGCTCACCATCCAGGGCTCCCCCAAAGGAGACAGAAAACAGAATGGCAGGAGGAGCAAAATAAAGTCTCTGGCAGGCATCTAAGCAAGGATACACAGGAAGTATGCCAGATGAAGGGGGACATGGCACAGAATAGTACACAGCACAGAACAGATGTTTATTTTAGTAACTGCCCACTCCCATTTTTGTATGTATCAAGAGGTGAAGGAGGCCACCACAAACAATGGCATTTTCCACTAATGACCCAAAGAATTACAGAGCCATGAACACTAAAAATACAGAGTGTGGAGCCCCTAAAACCTCTTCAGGATGGCAAGCCATCTACCATTGGTAACTGGAAGATGATAAATGAAGTAATGGTTAATTATGCTCAAACATCAGAAGACTTGGGTTCTAGGACTAGCTCTTACATTAATTTACTGTATAACCATTGGGAAATTACTCTCTGTCCTTCAACTATTCCTATCAACCAAAAAGGCATGATAACCATTCCATTTTAAGAGCTATTTAAGGAGCCACTAGGTGCAGTGGCCCACACCTATAATCCCAGAGTCTAAGGAGGGTAAGACAGAAGGGTTGCAAGTTTAAGGCCAGCCACAGCAATTTAGTGAAGCCCTTAGCAACTCAGTGAAACCCTGTCTCAAAATACAACTAAAAAGGACCAGAGACATATCTCAGTAGCTCAGTGGTAAAGTGCCCCTGGGTTAAACCCCAGTACCAATAATAATAAATAATAATAATAATAATATAATATTAGAAAAATGGGATAAATCAAAGGCTCTCCACAAAAAAAGTGCCATAGGAACAAACGATAATAATCATAACTCATTCTTCATTTTTAATTTGCCAATAACTAGAAGAATGATGATGTTCATTCTGAAAGATCAATGTGGTTATACTGGATAAAATAAAAATTTTAGGTCCTCACTGTATTCTTATATCCAGTTTGAACTTATCACCAGGCTCCTGAAATTTCAGGTATTGAAAGCCATCAGACACTAAATGCCAAGTGAATTAACTACTAAAAAATAAATCACGGAATAGCATAAGCAGTTCATCATAAAATAAAACATTTTGCCCCAATTTGCCAGTTTGCCTCCCACCATTTCTAAGCCCTAGAGTTTGTGCATCTTGGGTTTCAGTTTAAAAGGGCACCAAATTTTAGGTCAGCATTTGACTCCTAGTACTTTATCAAGACTGTGCCAAAGGCAGGATAAGGCAAAACCAGGGCCTGTGCTGCTAAGAAAAGAAACTGCTTGAAAGCAGTCACTCCCAATGACCTTAAGAAATGTCAGAAGTCGAAAGGGGATTGAGATACCAGCCTCAGAGCATGTGTTCTCAGATGCTAAAGACCAGCAGAATGGAAGAAAGTACTAAAAACTGCCTTCAGCTTCCCTCCTAGTGAATCAAATTCAAAATCATGCTCAAACATCCACAAGACTGGGATCCTATTTAAAATCAGATATATTTCATACTTGTATAAATAAATCAAAATAGATTCTACTGTCATGTAGGACTAGAAAGAATAAAGAAAAAAAATCATGCTCAAAGATCATTTAATAATAGAATTCTGGTTGTCAAGTCATAGTAATCTGTTTTGTGGGTTATCTATGGCTACTTTTGCATGACAATGGTAGAGCCCAGCAGAGCTAACAGAGACTATATGGCCTTTATGACTGAAAGACCCACAAAGCCTAAAATATTTACTATCTAGCCACTTCAGAAAAAGTTTGCTGATCTAATGACCTTAGCTACAAAGTCCAGCAATAGCACCATTAACTTAGTCAAATGACTACCTTTCTGAAACTTAGTATTTTTTCCTGAGACTTTTCCTGAAATGAGGATGAAGCCTACACCCCCTTATCTTAAAGACAGATTCAAACAAAATGTTTTATAGTTCTTAGAAAAATACCTCAAATCCAAGGTAATATCACCATGATCATCAAATTCACTGAATAATCTTATACCCCAAGAATGTTCACATATATTTCAAAACCATTTGAGTACCAGAAGGACTTCTGGGATGCTGGTAATATTCTATTCCTTGACCCAGGTGGTAGTTACAAAGATGCATTTATTTTGTGATAATTCATCAAGTTGTGTGTTTGTGCATTCTTACTTGTATTTTATACTTCAATGAGAAAGTGTCTAAGAAAAAACACAAGCTTCTTGTATTCTTCCATCATAGTCTCTTCCAGATTCAGGACCTAATCTTTAATAATGTCAAAATCACAGGACCTACCTTGTTCCCAGAAGCATCTTTTCCCTTCCCTTCTTCCTCAACATGAAAGCGAAGATTCTCCAGCAGGATAACAGACCCAGCTGCTGGACTGGCACAAGCTTTCTCTACTTCTGGGCCCACACAGTCCTTCAAGAACAGAACATCCCTAGGGGGAGCAACAGATGAAGCGACTCAAGCAGTCTGAAAATAAAAAACCAGTAACAACATGCCTGACAATCTGTCCTCCTATATACTCAACCAGCACCAGAGCCTGGCACTTACTTGCCCAGCAAAGATTTTAGTTCTGCAGCAACTGGTTCTAAGGAGTACTTGTCAGGCATGGGAACACCATCAGGCCGGCCGAGGTGGCTCATAAGGACAACTGACTTGGCTCCATTGTCCAAGCAGAATTTGATGCTTGGGATAGCAGCCTTGATCCTGAAAAAAATAAAATAAATACATATAGTTGACAAAGCAATGTTATTCCTAGGGATTACTGGGACATGCTTTATTCATGACTTAAAAAACCTAAAGCCCCTTTACTTTTCCAAGTTCCTTCAAATGTACTGTCAGCAAGTCAGTGGTATCCCTCAAATTCGTGTCAGGGGAAGAAGTTAAATATGATGCCAATATTCCACCTAGGATTGTAGCGTCATCACGGATGTGCCCCTTGTGCAGAAAAGAGTTAGGAAAGCAAGCCTGAATATTCTATCTATAGGAGACCTGCTTGGAAGGTTGACCCTTGGCAGGTGTCTAGGCACTTGGCTTTCAAAATGTTCTCTAAGCTCTCTAACTGGAATGTTCTCTCAGCTCTCTAACTGGCAAGGCTGTTCACTGTTCCTAAACTGTATAAACAAGGTAATTTATGTTGAACATCTGCTCCCATCTAGAAGTCTAAAATTTGGGTGGTTGCTAGGCAAAGGGTACCTATGTAACCAGCTCCCCTGAGTGTATAGTCAAAGGAAATGCAATCAGCATACAAAAGAGATCTTTGCATACCCATGTTTACTGCAGCACTATTCACTATAGCTTAGATAGGGTAATTAGTCAAGATCCCCACAACAGATGGATAAAGAAAAAAATTCATACACACACACACGCACACACACACACACACACACCATGTGTATATACACACAAGGAAGTATTTTAAAAATATTTTTTAGTTGTCAATGGACCTTTATCTTATTTATTTATATGTGGTACTGAGAATTGAACCTAATGCCTCACACATGCTAAGCAAGTGCTCTACCACTGAGACACCCCAGCCCCGCAAGGAAGTATTATTCAGCCATAAAGAATGAAATTCTATCATTTTCAACAAAATGGATGGAACTAGAAGATATCATATTAAATGAAACCAGAAAGGCAAGTACTGTGTGTTCTCTCTCATATATGGTATCTAAACAAAGTCATCTTTAAAGTGGAATAGTGATTATTAAGGATTGGGAAGGGTGGGAAAGGTCAGAAAAGGGTGATTGGATTTGATCAGTGCACTTTGTATGCATGTATGGAAATATTACACTGAATCCCATTAATACATACAACTAATATGTAGTTGTGAAAATAAACAAATAAAAAAATAATGGGATGAGAGTCTAATAGACTTCTCAGGACAAAATCACTGCACGCAATCACTACACTCTTCACTGTGGAGAAAGGAGCCCATCTAATACATCCCCTCATGGTATGTTGGAAGCCTGTGCCATGGAAATCTCCAGACTCCTCCTGTGTCTTTTCCCTTTGCTGATCTTGTCATGTATCCTTTCACTGTAATAAAGTCTGGACATAAGAACAATTATATGCAGAGTCCTGCGAGTCCTAGAAACTCAATATGGTATTTTGGAGACTTCTGAAAACACCATTCTTAAGTGATGATAAAAGACATAATGTTTCAAATCCTGAAACCACAAAGGATATTTGGGAAAAAAATAAGAAATATGTAGCAACTTTTCTGCATCCATTATAGATACTAAATCACTTTTTTATATACACAAGATAAACACATTATATAGAACTTGGTTTCTATAATGTATTACATTTATTATATTTTAATCAAAAAATTGGGACTGAGCTGGCACAGTGGCACATGCCTGTAACCTCAGCTACTTGGAAGGCTGAGGCAGGATTATCACAAGTTTGAGAGGTCAGCCTGGGCAACTCAGTAAGACCTTGTCTCAAAATAAAAACAAAAGGGCTGGGGATGTAGATCAATGGTAGAGTATTTACCTAGCATAAGCAAGGCCTTGAGTTCAATTCCAAGTACCAAAAAGAAAAGAAAAAAATCAGGGCTGGGAACACAGCTCAGTTGTAGAGCATGTGCTTAACCTGCAGGAGGCCCTGGGTTCAGTCCCCACCATCAAAAACAGTAACAATAATAAAAAAAACTCCCTTTAAGCATTTTTTACTTTGAATTAAACTCAGAGGTGTTTTTTTAAGAGAGAGAGAGAGAGAGATTTTTTTTTAATATTTATTTTTTAGTTTTCGGCAGACACAACATCTTTGTTTGTATGTGGTGCTGAGGATCAAACCCAGGCCGCAAGCATGCCAGGCGAGCGCGCTACCGCTTGAGCCACATCCCCAGCCCAAACTCAGAGTGTTTTAACCACTAAGCTACACCCCCAGTTCCTTTTATTTTTTTTGAGATAAGGCCTTGCTAAGTTGCTAACGTCTCACTTAGTTGCTGAGGGTGGCCTTGAATTTATCATCTTCCTGCCTCAGCCTCAGAATTGCTGGAATTACAAATGTGCACCACCTTGCCCAGCTTCCTTCAAACATTTACTAAATGGTTCTTTTGTGCCAGTCACATCATTCTAGGTGCAAAGAATATAAAAGTTAAAAACAAAACAAAACAAAAACAGCCACAACAGGAGGTGAAACAGGAGGATTTCTAGTTCAAAGCTGGCCTGCACAACTTAGCAAGACCCCGTCTCAAAAATGTAGCTCAGTGTGGTAAAGCACCCCTGGGATCAACCCCCAGTACCAAAATAAATAAATAAAAATTAGAATAAACAATCTGTATTCTCATGTAAGTAGAATCCTAACAGAGGAAAATAAACTATCTGGAATAGTCTTATAAAACTATATGTAAGCCTAATAATTATTGGTATTAAAAATCCTTCTCTTGCATAGTTATTTTACAAGAAAAGTCAATTAACCTAAAACTTTGATTTCTTTAAAAAAGAACAACTCCAAATTCTTCAAATTAAAAAAAAAATAAAAAGGGAAGAGAGAGAAAAATCACTTTCTTAGGATGATTTTTTTTTTAGTTTGTATTTGTGTGTATGTGCAAAAGCATGCACACAATGTATGCATGTATGTGTAATTTATCAGATCATGTTAAGAGTTATAGAGAAAGTAAAGCAATGAAGGCAGATAAAAGATAAGAATGAAGAATAACAGTAGAGGGCTGGGGCTATAGCTCAGTGGCAGAGCACTTGGCTAGCATGTGTGAGACACTGGGTTTGATCCTTAGCACCACATTAAAAAAAAAAAAAAAAAAAAAAAAACTAAACAAATAAAGGCTTTAAGAAAAATTTTTTAAAAAAATAAAAAAAAAGCATAGTGGAGATTTTATGTAGGCTGACAAGGGAAAATGTGATAAAGAGATAGTTGAGCAAAGAAGGGAATGATAAAACAAAAAAGTAATGTTTCTAAAATATTTTATTCTATGTAACAGATACAGAAACTTGCTTATATAAAAATAAACTGTATCATGTATAAACTTTGCCCAATGAAATCAATAAATTTGGGCCGGGGTTGTGACTCAGCAGTAGAGCACTCACCTAGCATGTGTGAGGCACTGGGTTTGATCTTCAGCACCACATAAAAACAAATAAAATAAAGGTATTGTGTCCTCCTAAAACTAGATGCACCCAGACATGTTTCTATGCTTTTATTCATTAAATACTTTAATAGGCAAATATGGAATCTTTTCTATATAATGTAGGATAATGAAAATCAAGACCAGTCAAAAGGGATGAGGATCAGTAGAAGAGTGCTTGCCTAGCATGCTTGAGGTCTTGGGTTGAACAACCAGCATCACAAAAAGGGGGGTGATTGGAGTTGCGGTGTACAAAGATTTTATTGCCATGATAATGCAGGGACGTGTCTCATAAAATGCCAGGTCCTATTCTTGGACTAATACCTGAAAATATCCTGGTTCTAGACCTACGCTGTCCAATATGGTATCCATTAGTAATTAGCCAATAGCTATTATGGAGCCTATCGACTACTAGAAATGACACTAGTCCACACTGAAATGTGCTATATATGTGTAAAATACATGCTGGATTTTAAAGTCAGCATAAAAATGTTAACTGTCCTTTAATTAATTTTATAGTGATTACATACTGGAATAATTATTTTAGACTTATTGAATTAAATAAAATATGGCTTACATTACATTTCTTTTAGGTAACACTGGTCTTGAGAAGCAACTTTCAAGCTCAAACTTTTATTTAAAATTTAAAATAAAAGCAGTACTATCACTTAAAACTTCTGCTTCTGAAAGGAAGACTTACACTACTGGTGAGATTGTAAATTAGTACAACCACACAAAAGACTAAGAGTGGAACCACAATATGACCCAATTATACTACTCCTTGGTATTTATCCTAAAGAATTAAAGTCGTCATACTATAAAATGCATACATTTATGCAAATAATCCACAAAAGCCAAATTGTGGAACCAGCCTAGCTATTAATCAATAGATGAATTGATAAACAAAATGTGGTATATATACACAATGGAGTTTTACTCAGCTATAAAGAAAAATGAGTCAATGGCACATGCCTGTAATCCCAGTGGCTTGGGAGACTAAGGCAAAAGGACTGTAAGTTCAAGGCCAGCCTCAACAACTTAGCAAGGCCCTAAGCAACCTAGTAAGACCCTGTCTCAAAATAAAAAGCAAAAAAGGTTGGGGATGTGTCTCAGCAGTTAGGTGGCCCCAGATTCAATTCCTAGTACCAAAGAGAAAAAGAAAATTGAAATTATGGTATTTGCTGGAAAATGGATAGAACTTGAGTACATTGTATCTAATGAAATAAGCCAGACTCAGATGATCAAGGGTCCTATGTTTTCTCTCTCATGTGGTAGCCAGAAAGGAAAAAGGGGAAAACAACAGTGTGGGGGAGAATCTCAGAAAAATCCAAGGGAAATCAGTGGAAAAGAAGAAAGGAACCAAGGATAGGGAGGAGGGGAGTGAAAGGGTAAATACTAAGGAATGATATAACAACAAATCCCACCATTGTGTACAATTATGCTGCACTGGTAAAAAAAAAAAAAAAAAAAAGTAGACATTTTCTAAAAAGAAAAAAAAAAAAAACAGCTTCTGTCTGAATCTAGGATCCAAGACACTGAAACAGCTAAACTGACTGAAAATATTACTTTTGAAGTCTTTTGCTTTGTTTTTTAAAAGCAAAAACAAATCAAAGCCAGTCATGGCAATAATCCCAGTTACTCAGGAGGCTAAAGCTAGTTATTGAATTCCTGCCCAACCTGGGCAACATAGCAAGACCATGTCTCAGAAATAAATTAAATTAAAAATAAAAGTAAAAATGAATCAAAATTCTCAAAACTGACTTTTTAAAGCTATCTGGAATAGTATTATAAAACTATATGTAAGCTTAATAATTATTGGTATTAAAAATCCTTCTCTTGCATAGTTGAATTTTACAAAAGAAGTCAATTAACCTACAACTTTGATTTCTTTAAAAAAGAACAACTCCAAATTCTTCAAATTAAAAAAAAATAGAGAAGAGAGAGAAAAATCACTTTCTTAGGATGATTTTTTTTCAGTTTGTATTTTCTCATAAATTTACAATCTTTCAGGGGCTGGGGTTGTGGCTCAGTGGTAGAGTGCTTGCCTATCACATGTGAAGCACTGGGTTTGATACTCAGCACATCATAAAAAAATAAATAAACTTATTATGTCCATCTACAACTAAATATTTTTAAAATTTAGAATGTTTCAATTCTTACATTCTCTTAAGAAAGCAAACCAGATGGTAGATTGAAAGAAAGCCAAAATCATGGCTTAAGTTGCTATAATTTTACAATATGAAAGGTAAACCATTTTATCCTATATATTCACACCAACATACATCTTAAACCCAGCCCAGATTTAGCAAGAACATTACCTCTGATTGTTCGTTATCTGGTTATTCTTCATAGGAACATTGAAGTCCACTCTAAAAAAGAAACAAAAATTTCAGTTTCAGAACCAAGATCAACTTACTGTTCTCTCAAGATCAGGGGCAGCACTTTTACTGAACCAGTTAAGTAAGCCAGAAGTTCAAACCTCACCTTCAAAATAATCAGAGGCGGGGGCTGGGGATATAGCTCAGTTGGTAGAATGCTAGCCTCGCATGCCCAAGAATATGGGTTTAATCCCCAGTTCCACACACACACACAAAAAAAACAGGGGCATTAAAAGTCAAGATAATAATTAGCCACCGGGATAGAATACCAGAGGGGGCTTCTGGTAATGTTCTTTTTGACCTGATTGATGGTACAAATGTGATCATTATGTGATAATTTGTTGAGATTATGATTTATGCCCTTTTAAGTTAGGTTTTATTTTTTGAATTTTTTAAAGCATACTTTTAAAAAATTCAAAAAATAAAGCCTAACTTAAATTATAAGAACTAGGAAAAAATTAATTAGAAGAATAAAACACATTAACCAATTAAAAACAGAAGGGAGATCGGTAGAGTAGAAGGGGATCATGAGTAGGGAAAGGGGAAATACAAAACAATGAAACGGAGCGAATTATATGTATATATAAATGTTGCAATGAACCACAATATTATATATAATCATAATGTATTAATTTTAAAAATAATAAAAATTAAAATAAATTGGTGCACACCTGTGATCCCAGCAACTCTGGAGGCTGGGACAGGAGGATCTCAAGTTTGAGACCAGCCTCAGCAACTTAGCAAGAACTGGTCTCAACATAAAACAGGGGTAGGGGGCACTGAGGATGTAGCTGAGGGACACAGTGCCCCTAGATTCTACACCCATTACTGGAAAAAACACACACATCAAAAGAATATCATTGCCTGGTGGAGGTCGCAAATACCTATAATCCCAGTGACTTGGGAGGCTAAGGCAGGAGGATCACAAATTTGAGACCAACTACAGCAACTTAGCAATACTCTCCCTGTCTCAAAATATAAAAATAAAAAGGTTAAGTGGGGGTCTGGGGCTGTAGCCCAGTGGTAGAATGCTTGCCTAGCACATGTGAGGCACTGTGTTTGATCCTCAGCACCACATAAAAAAGGTATTGTGTCCATCTACAACTAAAACAAATATTTTTAAAAGGGCTGGGCATGTAGCTTAGTGGTCAAGCACCTCTGGTTCAATCCCTGGTACTGAAAAATTAATAAAAAAAAAAAAAAGACTATCGTTCTTTTTGGAGAAAGCCTGCAGCCTTAAGACTAGGAAGAAACCCAGGGTCAAGTACCAAGCTCAGACAGTATCCTTCAGAACAGACAATACAAAAAGCCTGAAAGGAGGGCTGAAGTCAAAGCTCAGTGGTAGAGCACTTGCCTAGCATGTATGAGGCACTGGGTTCAATCTCAGCACTGCATATAAGTAAATAAATTAAATAAAGGTCCACTGACAACAACAACAAAATTTTTTTTTTAAAAAATCCTGAAAAGATGAGACATGTGCCTTAGCCCACCTGACAGATCATTAGAAGGAATTAGTCAAATGTCACAAGCTAATAATGTACCACAATCTTTCCCTTCTAACCTAACAGATCACTGCTTTTACCATTTTTAAGAACCAATTCTGAACTCCCTGGAACCTCAGCCTACTTCTATGTGACTGAAAGCAATAATGTATGGCACCTTTTTATATATTTTTAAAGTTGTCATCGGACCTTTGTTTTATTTATATACGGTGCTGAGGATTGAACCAGGGCCTCATACATGCGAGGCATGTGCTCTACCACTAAGCCATAAGCCCAGCCCTATAGCACCCATTTTTAAGGTCTGTTTTGCCTGCAAAGATCATTATTTGTTTTCTTATCTGTAGAATGGGAATGATAGACTTTACCTCACAGTCATTAAGAGAATTAAATTTGTAAAGTGCTTAGAGAGTATCTAGCACAGTTATGTACCACAAAAGTGTTAAATATTATATGTTAATGCTTGTCCAAATTATAATTCTGTGATTTGGAAGACAGAACCAACCAGCATTACTAAAAAAAAACTTGTTAAGGGACTATAGAAAAGTATGAAATAGTCAAGAAAATTGCTGCTGTCCTTGATCATAAAACTCCATCTTTTCCTTCTTCCCTCTGCACCACCTGCTTCCTCTCAACAGCTGAGGGCTGGGAGATGACCACAAAATCCTTCAGAACTAGTGAGAAAACCACCACATTTTCTATATGTCCTAGGCCTGAGCCCCTATCTACCTCAGGAATAGCGGCCTTTCCAAAGGTAAAATGAGGGAAATAGTTCTATATTCAATCATTCTGAAGAAAGCCTTCAAAACTAAAAGGCAGTAAGTATGCCTCTAACCAAAGAAATATACTCTACTTAGTTTCAGGCCACTTGATTCTGATTCTCAGCATCTTCTTTAAATATCTTGAACAAGGCCCCTGCCAGCCTCAAAGTACATTTCAAAGAGAACCAAGTATCCCATTACAGTGGGTCATTTTCCCAGTTGCAGCCTCCCAGAAAGGCAAGACCTGCAAGAGGGTGAGCACAAGCTATCCATTGCATGGCTCCTCCCTACCCCTAGAACCTTACAGGAAAGAATGCCTTTGGGCAGAAATATCCAAGAATCTGTCTCATCTATCGATGTTGCCATGGCATCCGCTCACTGATGAAAATTGGATTTGTACTCTCCCCTCACTGCCCTCATCATCTCCTACACTTTCAGAAACTCTGCTTTCAACTTCTCTTCTTAGGACTCCCAACACAGTAACTGCTCTTGCCTACACATTATACTTGTTCCATTTTATGTAAACTCTGCACCCCTTCCTTTTGTACTTTCCTGAAACATTCCCAAGCTTTGCCTCAGGAACAAATTCAGATATCACTGCATGAATATCAGAATGGCTAAAATTTAAAAAATGAGATATCCACTGCTGCTGAGGATGCAGAGTTTACTTGTACACTGCTGGTAAGAATGTAAAATGGTGCAGCAGTTGTGGAAAACAATCTGGCAATTCCCTCAAAAAGGTTAAATGCAATTTATGAGCATATCTCAATTGTAGAGTACTTGCACGCCATGTGCGAGGCCCTGGGTTCAATCCCCAACACAGAAAAAAGGAAGGGGAGTTAAATACAACCCAGAAATTCCACTCCTAAGCATTTACCCTACAGTAATTACAGCATATGTCCATACTTACCTCATTTGTAATAGCCCCAAATTGGAAACAACTCAAATGTCCTTCAATGAATTAATGTTTAAATAAATTATGATACAGTCATACCATGGAAAACTACTCAGCAATACCAAGGAATGGCCTATTGATATATGTGACAAATTGAATAAATCTTGATGAAATCACACTGAGTGGAAAAGTCAATCCCCAAAAGTTACATACTATGTAATTCCATTTATATATTTGGTACCAGGTATTGAACTCAGGGGTGGTTAACCACAGAGCTACATCCCCACCCCTTTTTGTATTTCATTTAGGGACAGGGTCTCACCAAGTTGCTTATTTTGCTTAACTGCTAAGGCTGGCTTTGAACTCATGTCCTCCTGCCTCAGCCTCCAGAGCCACTGGGATTACAGGTGTGCACCACCTCACCTGGCTATATAACTTCTTTTAATATATGTTTTTAGTTATTGATGGACCTTTATTTTATTCACTTATTTATATGTGGCGCTGAGAATTGAACCCAGTGCCTCACACATGCCAGGCAAGCCACAACCCCACTCCTGTATAACTTTTTTGAAATGACAAAACTTTAGAAACAAATCAGCAATGACCAGGAATTAGAAATGGGGTGTGATTATAAATGGATAGCATGAGGGAGACCGGGGTGGTGATACAGTTCTATATCTTGATTATGGTGGTGATTACACAAATCTACACATGGATAAAATGACATAGAACTATATACACTTTATACCAATGTCAGTTTCCCACTTTTGATGTTTTACTATAATTAATTTAAGATCTACCATTGGGGGAAACTGGGTGAACAAGACCTGACTGTATAATTTTTGCAACTCTCCTGTAACTCTATAATTATTTTCAAAATAAAAATTCTAAACATTGATTTGATTGGAATAAGACTATCAAGTCTTTATTACTTTAATTCTCAGGACTCCAGACACAGTTTCATTAAAAACTCTCAAAGGAACTATGTCATCGGATCACTGTCCCTGACTAGAAAATTGGGGTATTATAGCTGTTTTGGAGCCTTTTCTTCTCCTGCTCTTGAGTTTTTTTTTTTTCTCTCTCTTTCCACTGCATTAGGGCTGTTGCTTAACAAGTTACAACAAGTTAGAGAAAACCAGTGAGGTTTAAAAAACAGGAGGGAGCAAGGAAAGGGGAAGTGCTTTACAAGCAAGCAAAGGATGACTGGCAACCTATGAGAGAAAGGAAAGGAAATGAGATAGCAAAAATAAGAAGGAAACTTATTCAAAGAGGCTGTAAAGTCAGTGGGAGTCCTAAAAAAACTGATGTAGAACCTGATAATTAACCAGTCAGGTTTCTGGCTATGTAAAGTTCCCCCAACAAAATGGCTGATTTCCCTGGGCAATTCAAACTAGGGGACCATCAGACAAGTCAGCAAACATCACAGTTCCCTTCCACAGGACAAAGGAGAGGAGACACGTGAAGCAGCCACTACTCAGGAGGCCCCATTTCTGAAACACTGCCAGCCACCACCACATAAAGGCACTGAAACAAAAAGGAATTGAGCTGAGCATGCAGGGCTGCCTGGGCCTTTCTAAAATAATAATCCCAACAATGTGACTCTCTGTTCAAAAAAGATACATTAATAATCAGGGAACAAAGTAACTTCCTGTCTTCAGCCTAAATAAATACAATTTACAGTGGGAAATTTATTGACTGTAACCTTCAGCAGACAAAAGGTCTATTTTAACCTGTCCTTAGTCATTATGTTCAAATATGTAGAGGATCTGATTGGTAGCCAAAGAGACCCAAATCGTAGTCCTGGCTCTGCTACAAACTTGCTAGTTCAGTAACCTTGATCAGGTCATCTTCCATCAGCAAAATAGGACTAGCCAATCATTTCAAGGCTCAGGGTTAGAAATCTGTGTTAAATGAAATTTTACTGGGTGCAGAGGCAGAAAAGACAAGCACCTCCTGTGCTCCCACGTGCAACCAGCCAAATTAATTCAAGCCAGTTTCCCTACAAAGAGGAGATAAAGCTCCTTACTGCCTTTATAGCAAGGTGACTAGCACAATGACCCATTCCTTGAAAAAGTCATCCTTAAGCACTGTGGAAATGAGAAAAAATAATTAAAACCTAAGAGCTTGTTGTAGGCCAATGTCCACCTGGCCTGTTCTCCAGTGGGACTATCCCCTTTGCTTAGGATGATGGTACAAGGTCCAGAGAGAATCCTTATCTAATACTAGGATGGCCGCTGTGCCCAGATTACAAAGGCCTATACCATTTGGGGAAATATGGACATCAGGTATTTCTCATGGACATTCCTATTGGGTTCTGTCTATCTCCACAGCAAGGCAAAGAAGGCAATCTACAAACTACTCCTGGCCAAAATGAAATGAGAAGGGGAGAGCTACATTAATTTTTAGTTCTCTAGTTCATAAATGCCTTCATGTTTAAAGCAGTTACTCCTCTACTGCCTTATGCATTCCTTAATATCCAAAAGATGGCCTCACTCACTTAACTGACCCACAACGTAAAGGGGACTAAATCACACCATTCACATACATGCCCATCAACTAACCACTTCCCTAAAAGGTCAGGGCTGCACAAGGCAATCAATGGAAATTCTTATGGCCCTTTAAAAATATCACCCTTGAATCTTGTTAGGGTACATGAACAGTCAAGTTCATCAATTATATACCTAACCATCCTCATACACTTTATTCCTGGCATGCAGAAATGTATCATAAATTACAAAAAGGATACATAAATGTAAAGTTCCATACACCATGCTAGTAATTCTGGCAGATGAGGGAGAAGCCATGTTGGTAAATGACCACGATTCCACATGCGCAGAGTAAGAGACCCCCACGTGCTTGGGGAGGCTTACTCACTTCTAATATCCTGCTTCTCTACCCACATGGCAGAATGAGGTTGGAGGATAGCAAGTACGAAGAGCCACACCCTGCGCTACCATTACCCAGTATGTGTCACAATCCTGATGCAAACCCCTTGGCCCGAAGTCCAACGACAGAGCAGCAGAGGCTTGTTACATAAACTCTGCGGGGCCTCATCCGGTGCGCCCCATCCTCTCACCCCCAATTCTTTAGAAGATTTCCACACTTGAACATTTAAAGAAACATCCTGAGAAACATATCCTTTTGTGCAAGGAGCTTTAAAATGAGGGTAATTTTTCATTTGTCTGGCAAGGTCTAGAATGGTGGGGGAAGGGAAATTACCCAAATGACCTTTCAAGGTCCCTTTCTTGGGGCCTTAAGACTTTGGAGCTAAGAATTAGGTCCCATTCGCCAATGAAGGGCTGTAAGTGCATTTCAGGAGCAAGAAAGGGGCAAAATAGGTCCCGGCAATCTGAGCCCTTTCTTGGTAGGATCTATTCCCAAAAGGTGACTACAGCCGCTTCCTGGACTAAAAGAAATACGGTTAGGAACCCACAAACTCGGGCACAGCCTCAGCCCCAATGGAGGGCAGCCTCGTCCTGCAAACTAAGACCCCAGGGATCCCGCTGAATGGTGAAAGAAACTTTGGGCAGATGGGAAAGCAAATCCGCCCGGGGCCAACAAGGCTGCTGCAGAACCTAGCGGGCGCGCAGGCAGATTTATAAAATTACCTCATAATGACCCTCTTCCCTTTAACGTCCAGCTTGTCCAGAGTCAGCTTGTTAGACAGCGACATTTTGGCAATAAGGCGAGGGCGAGAGGTTGGAGACTGAGAGAAGGATAATGCGACCGACGCGCTGTCCAGACGCGTGCAGAATGCTGAGCACCTCGCCCACCGGGAGCGCGCCCGCACCGCCCCCCGACGCCCCGCCTCCCGCACCGCCCCTTCCCGGCCGCGGCTCAGGGCGCGCCAAGCAGAGCGGCCGCTATTGGCCCCGGCCCAAAGGGGCCGGCTCGCTGCCATTGCTCCAAGGCGCTGTCCGTCTGCGAGGGTACTGGTGGGACGTGCGGTTTCCATTTGTCACGTCCGGCACGCTGCGAGCTGCGGGGAACCTTCCTGACTAGGGGCGGAGCGAGAGGCGGCATCGAGCGACCTGCAGGTGGGGCGGAGGGGAGCTGCGTTGTGCTACGACTTGGACGTGGAAAGTTTGAGAGGCCCGTAGCTTCTGCAGCCGCGGTTCAGGAGCCACACCCAAAGTATCTGTGGCGCTGCTTTAGTCCTAGGCTGCCTTAGGAAAAGCGCTTACCCCCACCCGTGGAATTCTCAGCAGAATGCCACCTCCTTTTGAAAACATGGTGTCCAGGCTTCCCAAAATGGAATTCTGCTACGTAAGGCCTTACTTAATACCCGAGACCTTTCAGAAGTCAAAAGAGATCCAGATCCTCTCGGCCCACCCCACCGTTTTTTAAGAATTAAAAAAAAAAAAAATGCAATGTAATTATTCTGTGTGCGACATTATTAATGCTAATGGCAAGCACACACACATTACATTTTTCATGTATTAACTAATTTAATGCTCCCAAAATCAGAAGTAGGTACTGTCATCATCATTTTACAGATGAAGTAATTGATACACAAAGAAGTTTATTGACTTGCTTAGGATTTCAGAGCTAAGTAGATTCAAGCCTAGGCAATCTGGATCTAGAATCCGTGTACTTAACATTATATATGCTCTTGCTAGGGACTATGTATTCCGTGTTGAGCATGTTTACAGAGTTAGTACGAATGAAATAACTTGAATATGAAACATAAAGTTTTTTCTATATATGGTGCTCGAGGTCCATATAAAATATAGGAGCATAAACTGGGAATAATGCCATATACCGTAATTTCTGCAACTCAGGAGACTGAGGCAGAAGGATTACAAGTTTGAGGCCAGTCTGATAAACTTACCAAGACCCTGTCTCAAATTTTAAAAAATAAAAATAAAAGAGCTAAGGATATAACTCAGTGGTAGAGTGCCCCTGGTTTCGATCCCCAGTACTGTAAGAAAATGTAGGAACATAGTAATTCGCAGTGCACTGATGTTAATACACAATTATGTCTGATAATGACACATAAATTTAAAGTTATAAGATAAACATCAATTTCTTTGAATCCTGTCACTGTGTATTATGAGAAACTTCCTTGGGAAATGACTGCTTGAAGTTACTTCCAAATAAGTCTACATTTGAGGTTTGATTGGGCCTCCTGGCCATCCTGTGAATACATTTAGCACTTACTTCATTCCACCTGGGTTAGTATTGTAATGGAATGAATTGTTTTTGGATAAGGTAGAATTGAAAAGGACAGTTCAGCATGGAAACAGAATAAGGATACAATCTGATAGCCTGGAATTAACAATTCTTCTTAATTATGGAACACTTGCTATTTGCTGAGAGCAGTACATACATGACTTACTCCTCACAATAGCTTTATGAAGTAGGCACTATTATATCCCCATTTTATGGATAATTATATTGACGCTCATAAAGATCAGAATGCTTCATCCACTACTGATCTGAAGCAGCAGCAGAGATGCAAAGATCCTAAGATGGGAAAGAGCTTGGGACAATACAGAAATTCCAGTGAGTGGAAGAGAAAAGATGTCTAAAATTGTGTGAGTGAGGCAACTGCCAAAAGGGACCAAATCATACATACATGATAAATATTAATCAGCCATAGAGAAAAATAAAATGATGGCATTTGTGGGTAAATGGATGGCACTGGAGAATATCATGCTAAGTGAAATAAGCAATCCTAAAAAAACACAGCTAAATGTTCTCTCTGATTTGTGGATGCTAACCCAAAACACGGGAGGTTAGGGAGGAAAATAATAAAAGTCCATTGGATTAGACAAAGGGAAATGAAGGGAAGCGGGGGAATAGGAAAGAGTAGAATTAATTGGACATAATTTTCCTAGACTTGTATATACAATCAGGGAAACTCCACATCATGTATGACCACAAGTGTGGGAACCTAAGTGGAATAAGTTATACTCTATGTATGTATATTCTGTCAAAATATATTCTACTGTAATGTATAACTAATTTTTTTTAAATGAAGAAAAAAGACAAAACAATAGTCACCTAAGGAGAACAAAAAAGAAACAAGAAAAGAAAAAAGGGGGGGGGGCAGATCCCTTGGAATTTATAATCATGTTAAAGATATGACTTTTTAAAGATATAATTTCTCCCCTAAGAGAAACGGGAAACCATGTATTGCAGTCACTATTGCCTACCCAATAGCCATTTCCCACCCATTTTCTACCTTTCTTGCTAGCAGAAATCTGACTTGAGTATTGGGGTAATGCATATGCTCAAGGAAGATAGACTTATCTGTCAGCCCCAAGGGGTGAATCTCAATTGATTTCAACTAAGCATGGTACTCCTATCTCCCTTTGTCACAGATTGGTCTGAGAATGGGCATTGATCCAGTTTGGGTCAATAAGATAAAGGGAAGTCTACTGACACATTCTGGAAAAAAACTTTATTCTCTGATAAAAGAAAAAAACATAGAAGAGCAAAACTTTTATATTTTTTTGCCCTTGGCCACTGCTTCTTGCTTGAGATACTATTCTATGGGAAAATTATATTTAGATTTTTTGATGGCTTTAATGTCCAGCCAGGCATGGTGGCACGCACACCCTGCATTCCAAGCTACTGGGAAGGCTAAGGCAAGAAGAAAATCCCAAGTTCAAGGTGAGTCTGGGCAACTTAGCGAAACCCTGTCTCAAATGAATAAATTAATGAAATAAAAATATGTTATATTTGATACCTCTTTTTTGTTTTTACAGTATTAGGGATCAAACCCAGGGTCTCACCCATGCTAGGCAAGAGATCTAACACTGAACTATATCTCCAGCCCTTTTTAAAAAAAATTTTTGAGACTAGATCTCACTAAGTTGCTCAGGCTGTCCTCAAAGTTTTGATTATCCTACATTAGCCTCCCCAGTACCTGGGATTACAAATATACACCATAGCTGCCCAGTTTGATACCCATACCCCTTTCAAAAGGTGTGGACCCTAGTTCTATTCCTCTTTAGTGTGGGCTATACATAGTTGGCTCTCTTATGCTTTATTAAATATGGTAGAAGTAACTATGGATGACTTCCAAGAGTAGGCCATAAAAGGCATTGTGGATTCCTCCTTGCTTTCTGTATCTTTTACTCTGGGGAAGGCCAGCTGCCATATCATGGGGACACTCAAACAGCTTTATAGAGAAGCCTACATGGTAAGGAGGTAAGCCTCCTGCAAGTAGCTATTTAAATGATCCATCATGAAAATGGATCCTCCAGTCCCAGTCAGGCTTCCAGATGTCTGCAACCCTGGCCAACATGCCAACCACAGTCTCATGAACCACCATGAGCCAGAACCATGGAGCTTAGCTATTCCCAAATTTCTGACCCACATAAAGTAAAAAATAATAAAGGTTTGTTGTTCTGAAGTATTTTGTTACTCAGCAATAGATAATTAATATGAAGTTCCAACAATGATTTTGACACTTTAAGGGTAAATAATCACCCAAACATCAAGAATTGAAGAGTGGACCTATAGAACAAAACTGAGCCCCTGATGACATCAGTGATCTACTGAAGTAACCAACTTTCTGTTGGTAGCTGAAAGCATCTTGTTACCCTATTGAAGTGATTTAAGTGAGAGATGTTTATATTTTAAAAATTAATTCTCAGGGGAGTTTAACTTCTGGTAATAACCTTGGATTATCTAGTCCAATTAGGACTAATCCTCCTACTGAGAAAGAATAGAAAAACAGGATACAAAGCATTTGTTTGAGGTACTGGATAACTACCAAGGACAGTGAAGCATAAAAGATTGAGGAAGAAAAGAAGTCTGTATTTGAGGTTGTTTATCCCACAGGGGCATCTGCCAATTCCAGAAGAAGTAACTGAGAGGCTGAAAAGATGAGGATGGCTTTGGTGAGATTCACAGGACTTCAGAGACCACCAAGGATCACATTTACTTTAGTACTATACATTAAGTGCCTGCCTAGTGTACATGATGCCCTGAGTTCATTCTCTAGTACTGCAAAAAAAAAAAAAAAAAAAAGCCATTCTAAGTAGATGATTGATAGATAGATAGATATTCCAATGCCATTACCCCAGAAGTTACTCGGAAGGGCAACACCTTCTGAATAAAGATAAATAGGAAATAGAGAAGCCCTCATGAGAAATAAAGCACAGATTCTTCTCATCTGAATCCATGATAAATAAAATTATTTTAATTTTAATAAAATTAAAATTTTTAATATCCCTCACATAGTAGTGAGGGTGGTCAGATGACAATTGTGGAGTATTTTCCTTAAACTAACTTAGCATGATTTTTCTTTGAAGTAGGTCCTTCTATGACAAGGATGGAAGCTTAGTCTAGTACAGAATTAGAATTTTGACCAAAGGAAAGAGTCTTTGTCAAGTTGCAGTTATGTGAAGACTTGACAGAGACTAGAGGATCCACTTCTAAGATAGTACCCACATAGCTGTTGACAAGAGATGTCATTTGTTTTTGTTTTGTTTTGTTTTGTTTTGTTTTGATACTGGGGAATTGAGATCAGGGGCATTCAACCACTGAGCCACATCCCCAGCCCTATTTTGCATTTTATTTAGAGACAGGGTCTCACTGAGTTGCTTAGTGCCTTGCTTTTGCTGAGGTTGGCTTTGAAGTAGCAATCCTCCTGTCTCAGCCTCCTGAGCTGCTTGGATTACAGGCATGTGCCACCACGCCTGGCTAAGAGATGTCAATTTCTTACCATGTGTTCATCTCCATGAGACTTAGTATTTTCATGATATGACAGCTGGCTTTCCATTCATTTCCAGAATGAATGATCCAAGACACAGAACAA